TATGACGTCACTAGCACGGAAAAAATGTAGTTGTTGATTAAACAATTTTTGAGCTAAAAAAAGTGTACGACATGTTTCAAAGTAGATTTTACAATACAATGAAATACTGTTCAGTTAGCTCTCCGCTATTATAAAATGTACATTTGAAACATATCGGAAATATTTTTTAACAATTTAATTGTTAAATTAGCAATCCATTTTTTTCCGCGTGACGGAATTTCCAATTTAAATACATGAACAACACAATTAGTACATACATATACATCTGCACTATAGCAGATTCATTTTTTTTGTCATATCTCTTCCAATAATCATCGTTCACTTTACATATCATCAGAGATTTGGCAACACCAGAATGTTCATACGGCGTTCTTCCTCAGGAGGTGGAAGGTGGAATCGGAGCGTCCTCGGTGGCCGGTGGCCGGTACGCCACGACCACATCACAGGCGGACACGGGTGTTAACAGCCTCATTTACCTAGCTCCTGTGCTCCCAGATACGGATGCGGCCACCGAATCGATTGTTATTGTCCCCTGGTGACAATCCGAATTTCCTCCCCGGACGTTGCCAGCTTTCAACCGAAAATGGATCTCTAAGCAGGGTAGAAAATTAACACTTTTTTTTGGATACAAATTGAAAATTCTTTCCAAAACCGATTTAAATGACTTGCTTTAATTTTTTACGCCATGATGGCCATTAGTCACCTAAAGATGGGCAGCCTGCCCGAAATGGCCATCGTGGAGTGAAAGGAAAGTCATTCAAATCGGTTTTTGAAAGAAATTCAATTTTTATCGAAAAAAAAATAGAAAAAAAAGTGTTCGTATGTATATAGTGCCGATAAAAGTCTTGGAAAAATTGTGCATTACGTTACAACATAGTAGAAAATGAACACCACCACGATACATGTTCTCTCATCAAAATGGGGCAGTGGCACGGAATTTCCGCTGATGATAGGACGATCACTCAGTCAAGTGGATCATTTGTTTATCTCAGAGACTTAAACGCAGAGTAAAGAAAAACAACCAATTTCATAAATGATGAAACTCATCAATGTCATAGGCGGTTCCACACACCTCGAACGGGGGAGGGGCGTATATGGGGGTCCGGGGGCTCCTCCAGTAAATTTTTAAATTTTTGAAGCATCTTTATGTAGTTTGAGTCAATTTCGTCATAAATAATTGCCAAATGTAAGCGTCTTTTCTTCCTCTTTCCTCCGTTCCCTCCTTTCTTCTTCCTTCTCCTTTGTTTCCTCGTTTTTTCGGGCAAACGGGGGAGGAGGACGGACCGATTAGACCGAGTCCTGCAGCGGACTGATTATTTAAATTGATAGACAAAGCGATAGACAGAGAAGGCACGGGGAAACTGGAGCGATCCTGGGTGGTTGTTATAGATCAATGAGGGAAAAGGTGGATTAACTACAGGGGTGGATGTTAGTTATTCTATTACTTACCTATTTCGTCAATTGCAACCACCCGATTTTACCAATTAGACCGCTCCATTTCCTCTTGATCTTCTTTTTTATCGCTCCGGCAGTGGGAGCCGTACTTACGGACAAATATAGATACGCCGTCCGCTTTTCGGGCTCAAAGGACGGAAATTCCGGGCGTAGCACCCGGAAAAATCAAAACTACGGCTCCAGCACCCGGAACTTTTGACCTCTGATCCAGGAACAGACGGTACGTCTACATAGCCCGCAACATTTTTTCAGTGTAGCAGGAAATTTGCACCGTAACATAGTGGATCGAGTCAATCAGTGAGGTTGGTCATTAAATTTTTGACTAAAAAAGCAAATTTTGACGTTCAGTTCGTCACATTTTAAATTTCAAAGGATAACCATTCCACGAGGAAACCAATGGGAATACTTTAAGAACCTCAAAGTTTTGTATAAACAGAGTTATTTGTTTTTAAAGATTCCAAATTTTGTCCGATCTCTCCTATCGACTCAATCCACTGTGCTTCGCGAATAAAGAAACACGATCCCGTGGTTCCACCATCACTGTGGGGAAAAACCATGTTAGAAATTGGTAACTTAACGTCGTACGACTTAACGTGACGAGTACCGAGGGCGTGGATAAAGCTGAGAAGCAGCATTTCTAATGACCCCTGAAAGGTGAAGCACTCTCTCCTGCAGGCCAGCGCTCTACGCGATGGGGCAACACGGTAACTTGGACCGGTGCTAGAGGGGGCCGGGGGACC